CCTACAAACTGATGTTCATGGTACTAGATGATACTTTGCACAATACCAAAGGTGAAAGTTCAACACCAACCCAGCTACAAACCTTTTGATCGATAAGAATCACCTGCCTTGAAAACACACCGGTGCATTAATGGCACAAAGCTTGTGGGAGTAACCAAGCAATATCTGATTGGATTTAAGGCCTGCTCCATGAGATGGGGCAGACAGCCAATGCTATTTGGGTGGCTAAGAATCTGAGACTGGATAGGCCGGGGGCCTAGGGGAAATCTCCATACTACTGTTCTGTCACACGTTATACATAGAGTGAGACTGTCAGATGTTATACATGGAGTGAGAGACCCTGGAATACTCAGCGCTAAAAGGGATGCCTCCATCAAATCCCTCCCCTTGGGGAACTCTGAAGAAGAGGAGGCAAAAAGATTATAAAACCTAGAGGATCTAGGAGACACCAAAGACTCCAGGCCTTCCAGAACAACAGGACTAGCACACACATGAACTTACAGAGACTGTGCCAGTGTGCACAAGGACTGCCTGGGTCTGTACCACATGGAGTCCTAGAGCTGAATGGAGAAGTGGACACACACACCCATTCCTAACCCAGAAGCTGTCTCTGATTGATAGCCAGTTGCAAATGAAAAATTAGTTTTCTCCTAGGGAGTCTCACTGGGAATCTTTTTTGTGTGTGTGCTTGTTTGTTTTGTTGTTGTTGTTGTTTTTTTGAGACAGGGTTTCTCTGTGTAGTTTTTGCTCCTTTCCTGGAACTCGCTCTGTAGACCAGGATGGCCTCGAACTCACAGAGATCTGCCTGGCTCTGCCTCCCGAGTGCTGGGATTAAAGGCGTGCGCCACCACCTCCCGGCCTCACTGGGACTCTTAAAGGTAGGTCCCATACCCACCAACAGATGACCAACACAAAAGGAACTCAACAGCATCTCTGGAGGTTCTTTACCTCCTAATATTGCAGCAAGGCAAGGCTTTTTCTTTTGCTTTGTTTCATTTTATTTGTTCTATCTTATAGGTCTTTTGCCTGTATACTATAGCTTCCAGTTTGGGGTTTTTAGGGGATTCCCGAGGGTGCAATCCTGTGTGTCTCTGCAACTATAGACATTTGTTGTACTTTTTTTTTTTTTTTGCTCTTTTTCTTGTTTGATTGCTTTTTCACATTCTGATTTATTTTTTATTTATATTATCTTATTTTATTATTATTCCTTGGGTACCTGTTTGTTTTCTAAGATGAGACAGAAAGGGCGTGAATCCAGCTGGGAAGGGAGGTGGGGAAGATGTGGGAGGCATAGGGGGAGGGGAAACCATGAGTAGAGTATATTGTATGAAGAAAAATCTATTTTCAGCCACGAAAGACATTTTTGAGGTGCTGATTTAAAGCTGTCATAGTAGGCCTCCAGCTTAGCTAGAGGACATGCCATAGAGCAGACACCTTTCGCAGTATTAAGGAAAAGCCTCCTCAGCATGTCTGCCCACAGTGGTTCTCTGTGCGCATTGCTGGACTTGCACTGAAGCGCGGAGACATCCCGACAGCTCCAGCCCTCCTCCCTGTTATCCTGGCGCTGTCACTGTTTCTCTGCACAGCCTGATGCTTTCCACCGCTGTTGAAAACATTCACCGTGCCTTCCGCATCCTCTACCGTGAATTTCCTGGTAAATGTGGCTTTCTCAGACCCCTGCAGGCAGAACTAAGGTTTGTTCTTCCTGCCACACAGCGCCAAAGCACATTTAAGTCTCTGTGCGCAATTCCCCTGTGTCTTTGTACACATGCATGCATACCTGTGTTTATGTCTGATTCTCACTTTAACTGCAAACCCAGAGGGCAGAGAGTGTATTTTCAGTTTCCCTTTCATGTCTGCAAGAACCTTGCAATGATGACCATCCATCTCCTTGGTTTTTAAAGAGGCATTTGTTGAATTATTTAGAGTTAAATATAAAATAATGCCATCCTTAGTAATAAAGAATAAAAATGAGACTGGAGAAATGGCCCAGTGGTTAAGAGCCCTAGCTGCTCTTCCAGAGGACCCGGGTTCAATTCCCAGCACCCACATGGCAGCTCACAACTGTCTATAACTCTAATTCCATGGGAGCTAATGCTGATGCACGTAAAATAAAAGTTAAATAATTTTTTTAAAAAAGAACAAAAATGAAAAAAAAGAGTACTTGTCGATTATATTCAAGGCTCTGGGTTTCATCCTCAGTACCACAAAAGATGAGCACACATCAAAATCCCAGATGACAATACGTGAAAAAGTCCTTAGCAAAATACTAGCCTGTCAAATTCATCAATATATGAAAATAATAGCATTGCACAACGGAAGGATTTTCTGCAAGCTACATCAGACTAGTTCAACATCCCAAAGTCAATCAATGCAATTCACTGGACACAGCAAACAGGAAGGCTCATGTAGATATTTTGGATATTTTACTTTGGCAAAAAACTGTTCAACCAAATTCAGTATTCTCTTTTGAGAGAGAGAGACAGAGAGAGAGAGACAGAGAGACAGAGAAAGAGGGAGGGAAGGATGGAGGGAGGGATGGAGGGAGGGAAGAACTCAGCCATCTAGTACAGACAGGAACTGCTTTAACCTGTGTCTATCCACGAAGTGGTCCCGAAAGCCCTGTGCTAAGGTAAGGGCAGAGACAAGGAAATCCACCCCCACCGCTCTTTTTTACCACCATAATAGAGAGACGATCCAGTGTAATCAGACAAGAAAAAGAATGAATGAGTTTGATTCTTAGACGGAAATAAAAGTAGGGACAAGTGAACTGTCCCTCAGGGGACAAACCAATTAACAAACTAGTGCACGCATCCAATGGGACCGGATTCAGCAACAAAAAGGGCCAATAAGAGGGGTAAACCTCAAACGTGTTACAGTAAGTGAAAGGAACCAGATTTGAAAGGGCACAAACTCCATCTTTTCATTTAGATGACACTGTAAAAACACTAAGAGGGGCAGAGCCAGAAAAACATACCAAGTCATGTTTGCCATGATCTGGAGGTAAAGGATTGCCTACAGAAAGCTGTGCGGGGATTCTTTGCAATGGGGAGATTGCTCTGTACCTTACTTGTGGCTACAGTCACCAAACAGTAGACTGAGGTGAATTTCATCTTATGTAAATCATATTTTTAATAGGGAATAAAGAGCAAGTGTGTATGCATATAAACTCTAAAATCAGACCACCTGAACACTGCTTCTTCCCGAACGTGGAACTTGGGTTATGTTCTACAACTATAAAAAGGAAACAAGAATGGCTGCATCTCAGAGGGATGAGTTCACCGTCTCCCTTGTCCTGCCTCACAGCTAACGTGGTACTCACATGACATTGTGAGTACAATGGGAACATCACATCATGGCCTCCATTGTCTGACTTAAAGGTTGGGTTTAATTAATATTTGCATTCAGATTTTACAGTTACAAAAATTAACCCAAAAAAAATCACTGTTTAGCACCTATTAAGACAAATTTACATTAATTTCAAATAGTCAAACTAGGCAAGAATTTTCTAAAATCAGAATACAATTTCAACTCAAATCTAAAGTTCCACCAAATATTTTACAAATAATTTTAAAAGACTCAAAACCGTGGTCATTTATAGTTCGTCTTTCAGAAAGAATATTCACTGTCCTGATTTTTACCAACTCATGAAATAAAAATTAAGTAAGCATTGTGGGGGAGCAGGGGCAGGGCTCAGTCGCTAAACTGCTTGCTATTGAAGCAGGATGGTCTGAGTCTGGATTCCCAGATCTCATGCAAAAAGCTGGGTACAGTGTGTATTTACAATCCTAGTATTGGAACGGGCTGTGGCCGGAGGATTCAAAGAACTAGCTGACCAGCTAGTCTAGCTGAGTAGACGAGCTTCTGGTTCAGTGGGAGACCCTGTTTCAAAAAAGATGGAAAGCAGTTGAGGAAAACACTCAGTGTCTGGACACCATATGCACAAGTATACATGGAGAGAGAGAGAGAGAGAGAGAGAGAGAGAGAGAGAGAGAGAGAGAGAGAGAGAGAAGAAAGTGCTGCAAAAAAGAATATGATACTTTGCTTCCTTAGACACCAAGAGCCTGTGTGTCTGGTAAGACCCTCCCCTAAAAAGATGATACTAGGAAGAATTATTGAAAATGGATAAAAAAGACAATATGGTATCCCAGAAATGTCGGCTCCCTCCAGCAAGAAAGGAAGTAATGACTTTGTCTGGATATGAATAATCTACTAAGATGTGTGGACTGTGCATGCACACATTGACACATGTATACCACCCCCTCACCTCAGCCTACTGTTTGCTTCTGTCTCTTAACCAGGTTAGAGGATTAGAACTGTGGAAAAACCTATTCTGAAATGCATGGCCATAGCTTTCCCAGAGGTCATTACATTTGTGACATATCCATGGCACTTTTATTAAAGCCCTACTTTGTGCTCAGTTCTGACAACGTAAAGTGTCATAGGCAACTTTTATTAACTGTGTCCTTATCAGTCCAGGCTATAAGCAAATGAAGCTGTCCTATTTCAAAGATCTCCCATCTTCTGTCATCTCACATCACGTCCCAGTGAGACGCTGCGAGAAGTATTCTTGGAGTGTTATCAACTACAAATTCTGCAACAAGTATGGCTGTTTGCACAGGATTTCACACTGAATAATATAGTAACATCTAGAAATTCCTAACCTAGAGGGAAGGAGGGAAAAAGAACATTTTAAAAGATATTTTAAAAAAGCATGGCATGTGCACAGGGACTTCTCCAACAGAACCCTCAGATTCATTTTAAGCTTTTCACTTGCTCAGAACTATTATTTTGAAATATGGAGCCCAAACAAGGATCTTGTAAAGCTCCATAGAACAAAAATATTCTTGTGGATTGTATCTCTCAATCAGAAGCCAGGGTGAGGGGATGTGTAAGTGGCAGAGAAAAAGTAAAATCAATGTGATACTTAAAAGCAAATCAAAATGGAGCTATACGAGGCTTCTAGAAGAACACAAAAACAATGATACTGAACAGCTTACCTTGCTTTTTTCCATTAGCTTTTCCTAAAGTGCCAGGGACCTGGGTGTCACAGCCAAGCTGACGGCCACATTTCTGCCTCTCAAAGTGATGTTCTTCCTCAGCGATAGAAGAAAGCATGTGTGGCGGCTGCAGGCCAGCTGGGGTCTGATTGGGCCACTGGTGTATTACAGAGCATGAGTCTTTGGCTTGTTGATCAAGTCTGGGGCTTGACGTTCTGCCAGAGTCCTGCGAATCACTATTAGAGCATGAGAAATGGTCCTCTTCAAGAAACAGGGAGTTTGCCTCCTCTGAATTCCCATCATTGCCCTGCTCTTCATCTTCGAAGTAGGTTTCCTGAATCTGAATATCATCTAAGTCCTGGTCTGGCTTGTCACCCAATGCCGAATCGTGTTTGCTTAGAAGAACCAATGACGCAGCTAACGCATCACCCGCTTGCTGGAGAGCTTCATAAACTCGGGATAGCCAGGAAGATAAAGGCTGGAAGAAGTTCTGGGCATCCTGAGATGCCATGGCCAACACCATGGCCAACTACCTCACGTGTACAGAGTCCACTCCTTTGGTTCCTCCAGAACTCTGGGCTTATGTGAAATACAGAACAAGCACGATGAGAAACTTGAAGTCTTTCTCTCTTTTTTTTATAACAGGCAAAACTTTATTAATATACACATAAAGAAAACATGCGCAGTACGTGAGCACCGTTGGCTGTAACTAAAACCAGGCAGCATGCCGGTTCCTGTGCCAAGGTCTACGGAGTAGGTCTTTGCAGGGAACAGAGCAACTGTGTTTGATAGGGTAGTCTCTTAGTGGCTGTGAACATTTCACTCTCAACACTTCTCAGCTGAAACAGAGGAAAGACATGCTTACACCTGTTAGAGTCACAATGGCAGACACCTATCACCAGATACCTACAATCAATGTCAGATAGCGTTTGGAGGGTGGGAACAAAGAAACGTTATATTGAAGTCTTATGACGGCTAAACAGAAATGACCATGAAACTCTAAATGTGGGTTCTACCCATGTCTGTATACCTCCTCAGGCTCAGGCACAATTCCCATTAGCAGTAATGGATTCTAGTCACATGGACTAAGAGAGGTCTGCTCCCCATAGATCAGCTTAACAATGTGAAAAGAGTAAAGGAATCCGTGGGAACAGCCAGTTTGGCATGACACTTCAAAATGCAAGAAAAGCTGGAGGTTCCGTGAACAAACATGCAGAACCCAGAGAGCGAACGCACAGGCATCTCTGTTTTGTGACACAAAGGTTTATCCTCTCAAAGGAAATGTGTGTCTGGAATTTAAAAGCTTCCAGCAAATCTTAAAATAGAATCATACAGTTTTATGCAATCTCTAGAAATGATGTCTATTCTTGGGGAGAAATCACTGAAAATCTGCATGGCAAATGGATCATCCAGCTTCCTGGAGATATATCCTTGGTATCTTGTGGCTTTGACTGTGTCCCCACCTCCTCAAGTAAGCCCTCTGCAACTCATGGGCCTTCTGAAACATACTTCATCTCATAAGGTTCATAATCTGAAAGAGGTAGCTCCTGGACATCCCTAGAACAGAACACTGGGACGACCAAATAGCAAATGCCTATGTTTTTATACTCATATGCAAACACAGACCTAGGTAGCTTTCTGTATATACATCGGTGTGGTTATCTCACTGCGATCTCAGTGTAGGACAAAAGTCGTTGTTTCTTTGATAGCAACATCTTCCCTCAGCATCATCCCATTCCTGACGTTTCAACCCTCTTGATCTCAGCCCTTAGTACAACTGCTTATATTCTCTTAAAAATTTCTTGTTTAGTGACTCATAGATACATTGATTCATTCAGTAAACAAATAACACTAAGTACCTATTAAGTACTGGGCATAAAGCCAGGCATAAGGTAACCCTGAGACCCCTGTCCTCATGGAACCTTCATTTCAGTGAAACAGAAACTGAAGAATTCATGTGCCACTTTGTAGCCCTTGTCCTCCTCCAACGGCATCTTTTCAGCCCCTCTCTGTCCCGTTCCTTCTCCTGTTTCCCCTTTATACTCACCTGCTGGGAGGGCTAACCCATCTTATTTTTGTTTCTTTGGTTGGTTTTGGTTTCTTTGGTTTGATTAGTTGGTTAATTGGGTGCTTGGTTGCTCTGAGATAGTTTCATGTATCCTGGGCTGATCTTCCACTTGCTACATAGCCAGGGATGACCTTGAACATGTGGACCTTATGTCTTCATACCCTGAGCACTAGGCTTACAGATGTGGAAAAACCGCACCTTGTTTATATAGTACTGGGACCAAACCCGGGGCTTCTATATGCTAGAAATCATACTATCAACTAAACTATACCCTCCCCCAGCCTCAACCCTATTTTAACTTTAAAAACTTGTAAACTCAAAATACACATCTCCAGTCCTTAGCTTGCTCCTTCTCTTACTCTTCTCACAAATCCAAGTCAGTAGTATGCAACCTTTGGTGGTTCAGAGTCATCTAGTAAATTAATACAGCACACAACGCAATAAAGCACACAAAGGCCTAGCCTGGCTGCAGGAATATCATCTTCCCTGGAGGACCAAACCCCTACTAAAGGGGTTGATATTAAAAAAAAAAAAAAAAAAAAAAAAAAAAAAATCTGATGTAAGGAAATAGATACACGTTAACGTGCCACACCAAAATCTTAAATTCAGTCATTTCAAACCCAGTATGTCATTTGGCTGCAGGGATTCACCTCTTCTGTCACAGGACCTCACAGCTGTGACTCTCTCTCCAACACACTCCCCTTCTGTTCCTTGCAATCCGACGTCAGCTTTTGCTCTCCACTGACTGCCTTCCCCAAGTTCCCAGTCTCTCATCTCACTCACCTGGTTTGTTTCAGTCTCCCGTCTTTTCCAGCTTCCCTCAGACACTCTGTTCCCCACCACCTGACTTTCATTTGGGTTTCCTTCCTCTCTACCCCTGGAATGGAGGCTCCATGGGGAGCGGAGGCCATCTATCTTGTTCTGTCTATCTCAGTGCCGAGAACTGTACTGTCCACACGGTGAGTGAATAATGAAGCCGTAAGTCTCATCAGAACCATGCCTGAAATAGTGCTCAGTAGAAATTACATACTCAGTAATTTTGTTAAATTTATGAGTAAACCCTACACAAAGCTGTCATGAAAATCTTCAGTGGTGTTAGTGCACAAATTTCCTATTTAGTACACTATCCTGTCAGCATTTGTTCCCCTCAATTTCACAACCCCCCATTTTGGGTTGCCTTTGCTGCTCAGATGACTTTTTCATTTTACATTTGACCCAGAAAGTCTTTGGCCTAAGCAAAAGTGCTTCAGGGTGTTAGAGGCCCAGAATGCCTCTCAGAGAAATCAGTGGCTCTTGCCATCTACTCCCGTCCTTACAATTCATATAGCTCCACTTTTCTTTCTAATGGAATGTCCAGCTGAGCACAGGCTGGCCCCAAAGAAACTGCCACAGAGTGCAGACTCAGCCACTCCTTATTACCCCTCACTGTGAGATCCTATATGCCAGTCATGCTGATACACTGAGAATTTCCAGAAATGACCTTGATTTTTCCTGATTTTTATTTGTTTATCCCAGGATGTCTTCACACTTAGCCTGACTCATTTTTTTTTTTGCACTGAAACTCTAATGGCTTTCTCTGCTAATTCTTCATCTACAATTAAAGACATGGCCTCAGAGTACTTAGAATATGTCTTTATGTTATAAAATTACATTTATGTGTCAATATTCTTCAGATGGGTTTCCACAAGTTTGGGGAGTGCTTTTATAGGTTACAGTTCCAGAATCTACATATAGCAGGAGGAGCTCTGAATATGTTGGTTGGTTGGTTGGTTGGTTGGGTGGGTGGGTGGGTGGGTGGGTGGGTGGATGGATGGATGGATGGATGGATGGATGGATGGATGGATGGATGGATGGTGGTGATGTATTACATAATGTAATAAATTTGCCTGAAGATCAGAGAACAGAACAAACCACTAGATTAAACATACAGGCCAGGCAGTGGTGGCACACACCTTTAATCCTAGCACTCTGGAGGCAGAGATCCGTCTGGATCTTTGTGAGTTCAAAGCCACCCTGGACTACATGAGATTGACTCAGTCTAGAAGAGAAACAAAGCCAGGCAATGGTGGCACACACCTTTAATTCCAATACTTGGGAGTCACATGCCTTTAATCCCAGCACTAGGAAAGTTGAAACAGCAAATGATATGGGTGGGTGGAGAAAGGTATATAAGGCATGAGGAGACAGGAACTAAGGTCTTTTGGCTGAGGAAAGCTTTTCAGACTGATGAGTTCTAGAGGTAAGAGGTGGCTTATTCCTTTGTCTCTCTGATCTTTCAGCATTCACCCCAATATTCTGGCTCTAGGTTTTTATTAAAAGACCATTTAGCAATTTGTGTTACAATGAATGGATGGGTATGTGTATATATTGATGAGTGAATGGGTAGGTGAATGGAATGGGTGGGTAGATGAGTGGATAGCTGGCTGGGTGGATGAGTAGATAGATGGTGGTTTGATGGGCAGATGAATGGATAGGGGTGTGTGTGTGTGTGTGTGTGTGTGTGTGTGTGTGTGTGTGTGTATGAGTGGATAGATAGTGGGCTGGTGGGTGGATAAGTGTGTAGATGAAGGTACTAATGAAAATGTTTAAAGCCAAATGGTCTCGACTGTATCATTTATCATCATCTGTAGAATGGGATTCCCTTACTTTATCAGTTCCCTTTGTCTCTAAAATCCAAGAACATGCCAGATATGCCAAAGAGCATGGTAGCTGGGGCTGGACATATTAAGAGTAAAATTGCCTTTTCAGGGATGAGTTCTAAATCTTTTGTTAATATGATAATTCATTGTCATATTATGTCAAAACAATGCAAAAGAGACCAAATCTCTATCTATATATAGGGGCCAGGGGTGGGGAGACTGTCTAGTTGCTGTATTCTAGAACACTGAAAAGGAACAGCACCTGTGTCTAGACATGGAAAATCACTGAGTTGGTAATACAGGCTACCACTCATAAAATAAATCTAAACCCAAAGGATATCAGTCATGGAGATTTATATAAGTAAATGTCAATTTGATTGAGAGGGCACACCAAGGGTGATGCAAATATGTATCTACTGTTCTAATTCTTTAGAGTGCTTTCTTATAGTGAGATGATGGCATGGCTTTTGATGGGATGAATGTATGGGGGAGAGAGACAGAGAGAGGAGAGAACGAGCATGTGCACTTTATTATGTTACTGTGATAAAACACTAACCAAAAGCAATTGGGCAGGAAAAGGTTGATTTGACTTAAACTACTTCCAGGTCATAATCCATTATGGAAGGAAGTCATACCAGTAACTCAGGTAGGAATGTGAAGCAGAAACAATAGAAGATTTGTTTGCTGGCTCACTTGTTCTGACTTACTCCCTCCATCTCACTGATTCATGCTCAGGCTCAGCTAGCTCCCTTATATAGCTCGGGAATGACCTGCTCATAGTTGTCTGAGGCTTCCTACATCAATACTCAATCAAGATAATCTCTCACAGACACACTCATAGACCAACCTGATAAAGGCAGTTACTCAAGACTCCTTTTTCAGGTGATCCCAGGCTGTGTCAGGTTGACAGATAATACTAACTAGGATGGGAATGGAGGAATGGAGGGGAGGAGAGAGGCAGGGACGTTGACCCTGTCCAGATACCTAGATCAGAAGAAAAAATACACTGAAAGTTTTGAAAAGGCTCATTGCTGGATTAAAGTAGTTATTATTCATAGTTTATCATTATGAGAAGTATAAAATTATACAACAGAAATGTGTGTGTGTGTGTGTGTGTGTGAGAGAGAGAGAG